GCAAACCCACAATCAACTTAATTCGCTACTTTGTCAACCTATAGTGCAGTTTCCCAGCAGATATAGTTAGCGAACCTTAATCCACCATCAGTACGTGTATGCCATCCTCGGCCAGCTTCGAGCCAATACAGTACAAAGCCGGGTATTACGTTCCCATTGGTATTCAGGCACTAGCATTCGCCGACCCAGCCCACGCATCCCACGCAACCCACTCAGGTGAGAGGGGCAAGGTGAACTCGAAGACCGAGAGCTTACAACAAGATTCCCAAGAAGACTACAGAGATACCATATATACCTTCACGCCTTAATTGGCATCGATAACAACAATTGCGACAATCAAAGGGACAAACCCCTCGTATGCTGCCGGCCAGACATCGTCGCGTCCTTCTTGAACGACTCTCCTAGGCTCCCCCTTCCCATACTACCACATATCTCGGGTACGCCGTGGCATCGCCTCACCGGTGCGCCCACCTGTTATCAACAGTGTCATAATGTTCTGGAGATTTGGCGGCTACGCCAACATCTCCACCATCGATACCATTCTTGATAAGACCGACTTCCAACTTGAAGATTTGCTAGACGAGAGCGACTTGATACAGGAGTTGAAACAGCATAACTCCAAGCTTCTTGAGTATCTACGTCAAGAAAAGGTGCTTGCCAATCTTCTCGACTATGTCGTCGCTCCGAAGCATGAGCCCGTAGAAAGCCCGGAAGATGACACTCAAGAGGAGGATGTCAGTAAGAAGGGCAGGTCCCTAGGGTTGCCTTTCGGCCGACCCCGCTCCTCTTCGAGGACCACGAGCGACGGCAATAGCGGCGAAGAAGACGAAGCTGAGAAGAAACGCAACCGTTACGCCTATGTCGCGGCTGAGGTTCTGTCGTCTGATAACTGGTCCATCCACGAGGCGCTGATGGATAACCGGCAGCTACTTAGCAACTTCTGGTTGTTCTTGAAGCGTCCTGCCCCGCTCGATCCACTGCAAGCCAGTTATTTCACCAAAGTTAATGAGTCCCTTTTTGACAAGAAGACCAATGATATGGTCGATCTACTCAAGTCTCTGGATGATGCTGTCTCGGACATGCTGCGTCACGTTGACTGTCCCATGATTATGGATCTTTTACTCAAAATCATCAGCTTAGAGAGGACCGACGACGGACAGGGAATAGTTGAGGTATGGTGTTTTTCTCCTTGCAATCTGTGTTACTATGCCTATCACAATGCCTTTGTTGCTGACATTTGCCTGGTGGCTTTCTGTAGTGGCTTTATACGAAGGATGTTATCCCTACACTTCTCTCGTTCCTCGGGCCGGAACATAGTTGGGCCACCCAGACCGCAGCAGGAGATTTTATCAAGGCCATCATTACCGTCTCTGCCAATGCTTCGCAAAACGAGCAAGCTTGCATAGGCCCCAATGAACTTACCCGCCAGCTTGTTTCTAAGCCCTGCGTAGAAACGATCATCAATTATATGCTGGGTGGCGGGAACCCTCTAACCGTCGGCGTCGGCATTATCATAGAAGTAATCCGAAAGAACAACTCAGACTATGACCCTGACGTTGGTGTAGACGCAGCCGGCCAACCGTCCAGCCGCGACCCGATCTACCTCGGAACGCTTCTACGTTTATTTGCCACGCGCGTCCCCGACTTCATGTCTCTAATTCTCAATGCGCCGGCACAAAAGCAAAGGCTAAACTCCACCTTTGGAGACAAGATCGAGCCTCTGGGCTTTGACCGTTTCAAGACCTGCGAACTTATGGCCGAGTTGCTGCATTGTAGCAACATGGCACTCCTCAACGAGGTTGGTTCGGAACAGCTCATTGCACAGCGGGACGAAGACCGCCGCCGTCTACGTCTCGACGGATGTCTCAACACTGCACGGGTCGAAGAGACGCAGTCTTCTGAGGATCTCACTATGCGTTCTCGCCTGTCTTCACCTGACGACAACCGTCGGCTGGAGGTCACGAACGCATCCGACGACGATGGGTTCGAAGAGGTGGCGCCATCCGGAGAGATGACTGAAGATACTTCACACGAGTTCGTCAAGGCCGAAGACGAGATACCTGCTATTGGTTTTGCATCCTTCGACAAGGAAGACGACGAATTTGTAGATGAGCCTCTTAGTTCACCGCGGCTTAATGTCCAGGATGCAAACCCGGATGAGCCTCATTTTGAAATCCCCGAGCTTGTTGTCGCGCCTTTGTCACCGAAGAAAATAGCCAAGAAGGATCCAGAATTGCCGCCCGCCGGCACGGAGAAAAGCGGCACACCCGGAGTAGCCGAAGAATCCACCACGAGCGCTATCACGAGTACCGTTACAGGTACAACCCAAAGTCAAGAAAACACTCCATCCTCCCGCGACGACGTCCGGACAAGCGTTACTGAAATCACGCCTGAAGAGATTACAGTCAAGACACCCATTGCCTCGGTAGAGGATGGATCAAAGGGGGATAAAGACGCCAAAGGCGATACAGAGCCTAAATCCAAGCCCCAAAAGACAGAAGTACCTAGCAACGTCCAAAACCCTTCTATTAACCAGGCGGTATCTGCCATTCCGTCAACTCAAGACGAGCAGAATCCTAGCAACACAACAGTTTCAGCCTCAACACCTGAAACAGCCCCAGATCAGTCTGGTCCAGTTGTGGGCGATTTCTTGAAGATGCAGTTCGTGGAGAATAATGTTGTCCCAACTATACTAGTAATGTCCCCATACTTTTGTTTCCTTTCTTGCCAAAAAAAGAACTATTGTCTAACTAGGTGTCCAGTCCTTCTTCTTTCGATACCCGTGGAATAACTTCCTCCACAATGTTGTCTACGATATCGTGCAGCAAGTTTTTAACGGTCCCATGGACCGTAGCTTTAACCCCAACCTTGCTATCTCTCTATTCGAAGCTGCTGATGTAACAAACGCCATCATCAATGGCCAAAATGCTAGCGAAAAGTCACAGGCGCAGAGTAAGACCCGGATGGGATTTATGGGACATTTAACCTTGATCGCGGAAGAAGTTGTGAAGTTCACAGAACGCAACCCCCCTGAAATTTTATCCGAGGCGGTCCTAGAGCGAGTTATGAGCCCAGACTGGGTCAACTACGTGGAAGGCGCCCTGGCCGAGACACGGGAGAGGGATAACGCGATCCTGGGTGGCGTCAGACCCGAAGTTGCTATGAGTACTAGGGCGCAGTTGGGTGGCGGCAGCCTCGGAGGGATGGGACCCTCTAGCCTTGGCCTCGGTGGTCAAAATAGTGGTTCGAATGCCCTTGCTGAAGCCGGCCTTAATGGTGGCGGCAATATGGACATCCCTGATCATGGCAGCAGCAGCAGCCTTGGGCCTTTCAGCATAAGCTCGGGCCTCCTGTCCGGGTCTGGCTTTGGAAGTTCCAGCGACGAGGACGAGGATGAAACAGAGGAAAATGAAGAGGACGTGAGCAATGAGGTTAGTGACGCCCTTTTCGGTCGATTCCGGATTACCTAGTGGCATGTATCCTGGCTGTGATTCCTGTTTTATCCCCTTTTTGAGTTATGGGAACATGTTTTAGGTCAAGCGCGTGGGATGAGAGGGTGCTAGCTAGGGATAAATTTATATTCCTACTTTGCACCTCCCCTACGTGTTTGAATGACTTCACCCTGGCTGTCTGCTGCCAGGCTGGGTTATTTTAACGCCTATGAACTGTGTGACTAGTGGCTTCCTAAGCTGCCTCTTCGTGCTACCTGCATTGTCAGTGTACCATTCTTCAGCTCACTAATACTCGTCTAGTTTCGTGCATATACAGATCCGCTAAACGGCTCAACTTCGTCTATGAACCCCCCTTCGATTCCGCCCCCTCCACCACCGCCGCCGCCGTTGAACATCCCGCCTTCTCGTGCTCGGCTACAACTAGCCGCACGGTTGGCAATGCATCAAAAGAACAATGCCGCTGCTTCAGCCCAATCCACCAGTGAAAACGGCGGCGAACGGGATGATACAAGGCAAGGCCAAGCGATGGGCGGCGGCCTCCGCAATCCATTTGAAGATGATGGTGATGATGATATAGACGACGATAGCGATGACGGCCTCGGTGGTCCTGCCGACGATTCAAACGATTGGGTAGCAAGGAGCTCACGGGGAGGTTGGTGGCGCAGTACGTTACGCAGGGCGCCGGAGAGGTTTGGGGATGGCCGCGACGACTCTGACTCGGACCGAGATGACCAAGGCGAAGGGGAAGAAGAAGAAGACGACGAGTTTGGCGATTTCGCCATGCCTGAGACGGACAAGGACAACGCTCAGAGCGGGACCGGTGTCATCGTCAAACCCCTTCCCGTCCACCCTCCACCCCATAACCCCAAGAGCTCCCCGTTCACGAGTCTATGGCCTTTTGGCTCTAAAGAGAAGCCGAAGGGAGATGAACCTGTGGTAGAGACAGCGGGTGAAGTGACTGAGGAGCGTGATGAGAGGATCAAAACGACACATGAAGCTGCTCGTAGAACGAGCATTGAAGATCCTGACGATGACGAGGTGGTTGTCTAGGAGCCGGCCACAAACGCACGACCAGATGCTGTTGAAGGTTACATCTTTATTCAGCTGTAGATGTCGGCTTTACGTATCTTCCCTGCAGCCATCAACTCCGACGATCCGGTTGTCCAGCAACAGGTTAGCTGCATTGAAATGTTGGCTACGTAGATGTTGCTATGAGCTATGGTATCACGGTATAGCGGAAGACTAGAGGTCAGAGAGGTTTATGAAGGTATGTCTGTACTATATAGCGACGTGGGTTTGGAAGTGTCGTTTGCCTGCTGTGTAGCGACGTACTCTGTATAATAAAAACCTACAATTAAATTATATGTGTGTCTTTGTCTAGAAATGATCAGGTATGCCTGTTTGCTTGTGTGACCTGGTTTACTATTTTGGCATAATTTGTCCATAATGACCACAAGATTGGGGTTATATGGATGTGCAGTAATCGGGAATGTTCAGGCCTTTACAATATAAATTCGGTTACTTGGTAAGTTTGACATCAACAAGCCAGCACTGGTAGCTCAGGGGTAGAGCAATCGGCTGCAGCGTTCAAAAGCCTCCGATAGGTCCCTGGTTCAAATCCGGGTCAGTGCTATCAAAGTATTGAACTGCTTCTCCCCTTCTTTTTTTGCTACTTTTTAGTTAAATAAAGCTTTATAGAAGCATGTTAATGCAAAAGTAAAGCTGTGGCAAAAGCATTAAAGTAGTATTATAAAGCAAAAGGGGCAGAACGACTGGTAAAATAATAGCGAGGTTTTGTTTACAAAAATCGCCTAATATTTTGTTATAGGGTATAGATGATTATTATTTGTCTATCTAATGTGACTTTACTGTAGTGCTCTATGCACAAAGGTACCCCTCTAGGTTAGGTTCTATCAAACCTTTGAAGTTGGCAAACAGACAAACTTCCACCAGCATTGAATAAATACCAACCAGTCCTCATTTCTTTTTCACTGCAGCGCTTTTGGGGTCGTCTACCTAGGGATTTGTTTCTGGGGTATCCTTTTAGTTGAAGTTGCCATCATGGAGGAAGACAGAGCACAGGCAGATCTAGGCATTGCCGCAGATATCGAAGAAGCCCATGCCCCGCCCCCACCTGAGTCTTCACTCAAGCAGCCTAGGAAGAGATTTGTTGGACGGCGTACAGCGGCGAGAAATGCCACCGGGAATGAGCCAGGAGGCGAAGAGAGTGGCGCAATTCAGGGTAAGAAAAGATAGCTATCATATCATGATGTGAATATTCACCCCATCATGGCATTCTGTGGCTTCTCAAGCAACTGGGGCCAAGGCTAAAAATGCTACAGCCACACAACCAAGGCGGCCACCTAGGTTATTGAACCAGGTACCGGCAGAGATACTGGATGATGCAGATTTGAAAGAGGCAATCGCGTTGTTACCAGCAAACTATTCCTTTGAGATTCCAAAAACGATCCATAGGATACGCTCGTCTGGGGCTAAGAAGGTGGCGCTTCAGATGCCCGAAGGTCTTCTCTTGTTCGCCACCACAATATCCGATATCCTCACTCAGTTCTGCCCGGGCATCGAGACGCTCATTATGGGAGATGTCACGTACGGCGCTTGTTGCATCGACGACTACACAGCTCGAGCACTGGGATGCGACCTGTTGGTTCACTATGCACACAGCTGTTTGATACCGGTAGACGTCACCAAGATCAAGGTCCTGTATGTCTTTGTGGATATCAGCATCGATGCCGGCCACCTTCTCGCCACCATGGAGCGCAACTTCGCACCGCCCAAGACGGTCGCCATAGTGGGCACTATACAGTTTAATGCCACTATCCACGGTACCCGTTCTGCATTGGAGAAGGCCGGCTTCAAGGTAATAATTCCACAAATCGCACCGCTATCCAAAGGGGAGATATTAGGGTGCACCTCACCACGTCTGCCAGACACGGAAAATGTCGATCTCATTCTCTATCTCGGAGATGGTCGCTTCCATCTGGAAAGCATCATGATCCACAATCCGGCCATACCAGCATATCGATACGACCCTTATTCGAGAAAGTTGACGCGCGAGACGTACGGCCACGAGGAGATGCAGAGTTTGCGGAAAGACGCCATCAAGACAGCCAAGGGAGCTAAGAAATGGGGATTGATCCTGGGCTCTCTCGGACGGCAAGGCAACCCGCATACCATGACGCTGATAGAGAACAAGCTGAAGTCGATGGGGATCCCTTGGGTCAATCTGTTGCTCAGCGAGATCTTCCCCGGTAAACTAGCTATGATGGACGACGTGGAATGCTGGGTGCAGGTAGCCTGTCCTAGATTAAGCATCGACTGGGGTTACGCATTTCCCCGTCCACTTCTCACGCCATACGAGGCTCTTGTGGCCCTGAATGAGAGGCAGGACTGGACCGAGAGTGGCGTCTACCCGATGGACTATTATGCCAGGGAGGGGCTCGGAAGAACGAGGGACATCAAGGTAGCCACTTAAATAAAACAAAGAAGACTACTCTCGAGGCTGTAATTCTACTACGGCTAAAGTATTCTTGTTACGCCATACACAGACAGTATATTCTTGAGCCTTGTGTCGACATCGAAAACCTAGGTTAACCTAGTTAAGTAACATAAGAACTAGGACGGCGACAACACCGGCGTGACACAGATGTCGGCGTCTTTGAAGTCTAGACGACGCAAATAACATGAGAGACGCCGAACCGCCAAGCCGGAACCCCGCTAGCCGCAAGAACCCTAACCTACAATAGGTCAACGACGGTCTAATGAGTCACGGCATCGTGAAGTCGAACAAGGGGTATGATCCTATCTGATGATCTGATAAGATAATCTACATAAGCTGACTGCACCTAGCGCCGACTAAGCTCGGAGATGCTCGGATTTACAAGTGCACCTTGACCTAGACTCCTATTTTGAACTAATTTGAACTAGGTTTTGAGATGAAATCGATCTTGCCAAGGACAGTCTTCCTATCCCAACTGTTACTATGTTGCAAATACAGGAACAAGCCGATCGTAGTTCGTCAAAATCAAGAAACCACTTCATCTGTGAGATAGTTAACCCATGACAATACTCTCTCAACCTCGGCCGAAAGCCTCGGATATAGACATTCAATGTGCGATATCCAACATGTTTGAAGCTCGGAGATCCGAAGCGAGAGAGAGAAACGACATCGTCGTTGACTCACTCATGGCGTCTTCTTGTAGGAAAGGGAACTTGGTAAAGTTAGGGCAACTCAAAACGGCGTAGGACACATTTAAAAAGGAGACCAGGTTAGAATGAATATATATCGTGTCGTGAGGACAAGCTTGGTCACCATGACTATAAAAGGGTTCACAGTCCACGAGCTTCGTCTTCTTCTTCTTCTTCTTCTCAACTTGGACTACAAGCCATCATCTCATCCAGATTTCATAACTCATTCACATCCTCAGTAACTTCACGACCACCACCACGACCAAACAAGCACAACATCATGTCTACTATACAAGCCACTGCAAACCCCGGAGGTCGTCAACGGAACGAGGTCAGTCATAACAGACATTCAACATCTTCTCCCCTTCCCCCTTTCCCCTTATTATCTTCATAACCCTCCAAACCAAAACTGACAATAAAGAAAAAAAAAACCCCAGACATGGGCAGCAGTAGACGCATACACCCTCCAACGCGTACACCCACCCAGCAAGACCAACCACCAAGCCCTCCAACACGCCCTATCCAACTCGCGCGCCAAGGGGCTCCCGAACATCGGCACCGCCCCCACCATGGCAAAGATGTACGCGCTGCAATGCAAAGCCAACAAGACCCGCCATGCCCTCGAGCTCGGCACATTGGGAGGCTACACGTCCATCTGGCTAGCGAGCGAGAACCCGGACTTGCACGTGACCACCATCGAGATAAACCCGCACCACGCCGCCGTAGCGCGCGAGAACGTAGCGCAGGCCCCCGCCGGCGTAGAAGCGAGGGTCGATATCCGTCTCGGCGCCGGACTGGATATTCTCCCCGTCTTGCGGAGGGAGATCGAGGCGGGAGAGAAGGAGAGGTTGGGGTTCGTGTATATCGATGCGGATAAGGAGAATAATTGGAATTACGTGGACCTGGTGATCCCGCTTTGCGAAAAGGGCGCGGTCATCTATGTGGATAATATTGCGCAGAATGGGAAACTCGTCGATCCGGAAAGGCAGGATGAGATGACGTTGGGTGCGAGAAAGGTTGTGGAGATGGCCGGGAAGGATGAGAGGATTGATGCGGTGGTTTTCCAGTTTGTGGGCGAGAAGGGGTATGATGGCATGTTGATGGCTGTTGTTCGATGAGTATTAGGAATTTTTAGTTTTGAGTGATGTTTAAGAAGTTGTTTATTATGGGTTTTGTTCTGCCGTTATATCATCAGGGGTTAGGGGGAGAGGATAGGGTCCTTAAAATGAGAAGAAAAAAAGAGGGAAATATTGAACAAAGTAATTGTCTTCCAGATCTCGTGCATGTAATTTTCTGTCCTACGACTCAAGACATCTTTAATTTTATAATTCACAGCGGATGGTTTCTAGGGATGATTTTAGGTGTGGCCGTGCCATATCTTTGTTACGCGTAATAATACTTACCAGTCTATGACCATGTCTAGGTTGCGTCAAATAAACAAGTAAATCGCTAGTCTAATATCGCAACCGGTAAAAGATAGAATTGGGAGAGGAGGGAAAATCTGCTTAGAAGGTGAATAGAAAATCAGCAAGTACTTACTTGCTCAGTTCCCCTATTCCCCCCCCTTTACTTGACTTACCTTGAACCGCTCAAAACCACAAAGATCTCCCCACCTACCTGATCCGAGTGAGGAGAGACTCACATGTAAAAAGAATATTCCAAAAAGGACAAAATCTGCAACGCAACCGCAAACCGAAACTTGTCCAAATCATTCCCATTCGGCGTCCTCATCATAGAATTTCCCGGCGTCGTCCACCCGATATACTCGCAAGAAGGTCGCTCTAGATACGCCACGATTCTTCGCGCGAAGATGGCAGCCGTGTAATCTACTGGATCTCTTTGGGCCCGGAGGCGAGCAAGACGCGAGCATGACGGGAGAGCGCGCGGTCGGGGGATAGGGTTGGGAATGTCGATTGGTTCGCGTTGGGGTTGGGGTTGGGGTGTTCGTGACCGCCTGGGAATTCCTTCCATTGTAGGTGATAACTCGTCCTCGTCCCCGTCCCCGTCCCCTTCTTCTTCGTCTTCTTCTTCTTCTTCTTCTTCTTCTTCTTCTTCTTCTTCTTCTTCGGAAGAGGAAGAGGATGAGGATGAGGATGAATTAAGTTGCACATCGTAAAAGCGCTCTCCTTGTCCCGGTTTCTGCAACTCCATTAGTTCAATCTGTTCAAGTGTATATGCTGCCATAACGAGTACGTACCTGAATCTCTCCGGCACGAAGTCTCTTCGATTTCTTCTAGGGCCGGAACTATTATGGAAGCGCGAGTCTTCCTTGTATTCGTGGAAAGCGTTGGTTATCGGATAGGAAGTTATCAGCATCGCTGTTACGGTTTCGTCGTATATGCCCGTCCATTTAGCGAGGTCTGGGAGACTTGGTTTTCCGGCTGCGCGGGAGAATACGAATGCTCGGGCTTCGGTCTCGGCAGGTG